CGGCAAGATGGCGGGAGCGGCGGGCTGTGGAGGTCGCGTCAGGGTCTGAGAGAAAAGCGATCCCTTTGGAAACAGTGTTTGGGTGTGCTGTAGTCTTAGTGTTTAAGGGTAAAACAAACCTCGTGTTTTATCCTCCCTGTTGTGCGCACACAGCCTGATCGGCGAAAGAAGCCGGGGGTGGGACGCGGTAGCCTTTGGTTGGGGAAGCGATGGCTGGGGGTGCTGTGGGGCGTGTGGGGTGGCAGCCGCTGGCAGGGGCTGCAGTTCCCCCCCGGAGCAGGAGGTGGCACTGCGGCTGTTCCCAGGACCAAGGAAAGCTCCTGGGCGTGCGCGCTGCGGGTCAGTGCACCCCAAACTGTGCAGGTCCAGTCCCTCCTCGTAAGTGCCGGTGGTCCCTGGTGTACCCTGGGGGCTGCACCCACTCCCCATGCTGGCTCTCCACTGAGCCTGCCTGCTGGGGGCAACACAAGCCACTTCACCCAGTGCTGGCTATGGAAACGCCTGCTGCCTTCATCCCTTACACCCTCCACAGCCCTATCCCCTGTGGCGATGGAGACACACACGTACCCAAAGGGTGTTTCAGTGTTTTTATAGAAAAAGGCAACTGTACATACGCATTTACACAGACAGGGGATGGGAAAGCCAAGAGGGAGGTCAGGCCTCTCCCCGCAGCGCAGGCAGACACAGGCAGGGAGGGCAGCCGGGGTGGGAAGGGCGTTGCTGCCTCTCTTGCAGCACACGGTGGGACATCCTGCCACACAACCAGGAAGCAGAAACACAATGACAATCACGCACACAGAAAGTAGGGGGACAAAGGCAAGGAGAGGGGGAGAAGGTGGGGTGTGGAGACCCCCTCCTCCCTCAGCTTAGCCACGGTGTGGGCTCTTCATGTGGGTGGGACACTGATGCCTATGCCCAGGGATACTGCTGGGCAGTGTGGGATGTGCGCCAAGCAGACAGCAGGGATGGAGGCTGGCTGGGGCTCTCCTGCGTGCTTGCAAGTCTCAGCAGCAGAAACAGTGTGGGATGTTCCCAGCCCCCCTGCAACGAGAGGAGAGCAAGTCCCTCGGTGCCTTGGGGACAAGGGCAAGTGAGGAATAACACTGGATACCAGCCTTCAACTCTGTCAAGAAGAGAAGGAGGAGGCTGGGAATGGCTTTTGGCCTTGAGCTGGGGAAGTTATGCAGCGTAGGAGGCAGCTGGACCTCTACGAGATCCCGGGGGTCTTACACGCACACAGCATGGGGAAGGAGAAGGCACGTAGGCCTGAAGGCATCACACAGCCAAGCATGGCAGGAGCCAGGCCAGTCCTGCAGGAGTGGAACCGTCCCTGGGTCTATCATCTGCCGTGGCAGTGTGGTTTGGCAGGAGCAGGCATGAGGGGCTATCTCCCCATGGTGCCAAGTTGTCCAGGGTCTTGGAGGAGGATGCGGAGCCGTCTCTTGGTGTCCCTGCACCCTCCAGGTGCCTCTGCTAGATGAGAATTCGGAACAGAAAGGAGACGGCAGCTCCTAGGGCCAAGCCCAGTGACAGGAAAAAGGCCATCACAGCTCCAGCTGTCTCTGCTTCATGGGCAAGTACTTTCCTAGGGGGAAAAACAGGTTATCAGAAGTGTCCTAGGGGATGCACATCCTATTCCCTGCTAAGTTCAATGGAGAGCTGGGAGGAAGCCACAGAGGAGCCAGAAGCTGTGCTCCTCTGCAGCAGGGGAACAGCAAGAGCAAATCCACCTTGGGTCCAAGAGCCTGCCTCCAAACTAGGGGCTTGCAAGAAAAGAGTGCATCAGGCAGACTGCCCTCAAGCTTCTGGAGCCAGGGATACCCCTCCTTGTCTCCTGCCCCATGCACTGCAGCCTGCCTGGCTGAGCCCCTGCTGTGGGTGCTGTGTCCCCCACATCCCTGCTGAGCTCCCCAGCATGGCAGATGGGGGAAACAGAGAGCCCAAACAGGAGCTTCCTCATCTCTAGGATACGGAGGCACAAGGCAGATGGAACACTGGGGTTGTCTGCCCTGAGGTGGTGTGGTGATTCCCCTCTGCGCCTGCATCCCCTTCTCCAGGTGCCAGAGCAGAGCAGAGGCAGGCTCCAGCAGTTGTGCTGGGGCTGATGTCTGGGGTGGAGCCAGCCCTTCACCATCCATGGCTCTTACTCACTTGGGCCCGAAGCACATGCAGAGGCTGGCCAGGTAGCCATTGGAGATGGAGAAGAAGATCATGAAGATGATGTACCAGGCGTCATGAGAGAATACGACAGGCAGGTAGTCACGGGGCTGCACGTTGCACAGCATGAAAAGAGGGATAAAGATGACACGGAGGGCCACCATCACTGGCAGGAGGCAGCTGTCCTTCCCAGGCTGGGAGAAAAACACAGGTCACTGAGCAGCTGAGAACTGGATATTACCTATCCCATGGGATGCTGGCTGGGGCTATACAGAGGCTGTCCCTACGGTACCAGTGCTGTGGAGGAGCCACAGAGGTGAGAGCCACAGCTGCTGAGAGACTTTCTCTGCTGCCACAAGTCTCAGTATCACCACCTGCTGTGACAAGGAGGTCCTGCTAGGTCTGAAAGTCCTGTCCTAGCCAACCTGGAGAGCAGCAGCACTAGGGCCAAAATACTGAGCTGGGCTTGGAGGCTGCTGCTAAACCCTTGCTGGAAACAACAGGCAGGCAGGAGAGCCTTGTTCATGCTCATGCAATCTCCTCCTGCAGCCTCCATGCAGGACAAGGCTGGCTGAGGCAAATCTCCTCTGGCACCTCAGGGTCTGCAAACTGGGCTTTAACCAGCTCTTCAGCCTCCTACGCCATCCCCCAGCCAAGCAGAGTAAGATCCAGCAATCTGGGAAAGTGATTATGCTGGGGCTGCTTTGGACAGTGCTGGGAAAAGCACAGACTGAGTTAAGGTCTTCCCGGATCCTAGCAGAGTCCCTGGACATGTGAGGCTGGGACAAAGAAGGAGGCACCATCCCCTGTGTCGTTCTTGCAGCTGGGACCGAGGCAGCCCCTGGTACCAGATGTTCAATCTGGGGTCCCCTCAGTTTGAGATGCCAGCCCAGAGATGACTGGGCTCACTGGTCTGGGGCCAGGAGAGACCTACAGCTGCTGGGCTGGCATAGTCAATGGACACTGCATGAGCATGGGGGAAGCTGAGGTTAGGACAGCTGCTGCATCTGTGGGCAAACTAGCAAGAGCAGCAGTGTCCTCTGCTTGAGGAGGAGAAAAGGAGCAAGCAGGGCCCCAACCAGGGAAATGAGGCCCAAACCACACACAGTCAGACTTTCCACACAGCCTTGTTTTGGAAATGTCTCCTGCTAGGTCATCCCACCACAGAGGCTGTGGCCTGGACACCAGGCAACACGGCTCATGGCCAAGGCCAAGGGCAGCCAGCAGAGATGGCCAGGGGAGAAGCAGCTCCAGGCTGTGTGAAGCCAGGCCCGGACAGACCCACAGCATGTGTGGTGCTGAGGAGCTTCTCTAAACAAACAGCCTGAACGATACAGGGGGAAACGACACTTGCGGGGTGGGTGAAGGGGCAGGAAGAGACACAGACAGGACAGGCCCCCTCCTCAACCACCCCCATCACAGCTCCCATTCTCAGCCCCAGCAGCTCTGAGCCAGGCAGGGGAGATGAGAGCAAGGGCAGGGGACAGCTCTGTGACCCACATGGCATGGCTCTGCCCTGCTCCCAGGACAAGGCTCTTTAAAGCAGCTGTGTCCTGTGCTGAGGCCAGAGGTTTTATTTTGGGCTGCCCTGTCTTTGATTCCTGTCTCGCTGTTTGCATAGCTGGAGTGAAGGTTTGTTTACAAAGAGGCTGATGTGGAGGAGGCAGCTTCACCCAAGCCATGCCAAAAGAGGGGCAGGAGGAGGGCAGGACAACACTGTGGTTCTCGGCTCTGACCCATAAATCTCTGCTAAGCACTTAAAACCAAGGCAGGAGTTAGCTCTGCACCTCCTTCCTGCTCCAAGCCATGGATGGCAGCCCCAGTGAGAGCCATGGCGGAGGGGCTGAGGCTGGGGTCTGCCTGAGCATTGGTCTTGCCTTTGCTCCCTGCCCCATGCTTACCCATGTGAAGAGGGCAGTGAGACTCCGTCCTGTCCAGTCGAAGACATTAAAGAGCAGGAAGCAGGAGACAGGGATGAAGTATAAATCTGCAGAAGGGGGAGAAGGTCACTGATGAGACCAGGGTGCCCAAGGACCTCCTGCCACTCACATGGAGACTGTTTTTTGGGTCTAAGTCATCCTGGTTCCCCACTAAAGGCTGGAATGGTTTCCCAGCCAGGCTGGTGTCTGCATCCAAACCATCGTACACAGTAGTTTGTTTTTCCCCTTAGGCATACTGTATTGGGTTTGTGTGGTGAGGCTTTGGTAACCTGGAGGCTATAAGGGTGGCTTCTGAAAGAAGCTGCCAGAAACTTCCCCTGTGTCAAACAGAGCCAATGCTAGCTGGCTCCAAGACAGACCCACCACTGCCTGAGGCTGAGCCCATCAACAACAGTGGTAGCAGCTCTGGGATAACACAGTTGAAGCAGATTCCCCTGCAGCCCGTGTTGCAGTCCATGATGAGGCAGCTGTGCCCCTGCAGCCCATGGAGGTCCATGGTGCAGCAGATCTCCACCTGCAGCCCCTGGAGGAGCCCACACCAGAGCAGGGGGTTGCTGAAAAGAGGCTGTGACCCAGTGGGAAGCCCACACTGGAGCAGGCTTCTGGCAGGAGCTGTGGCCCTGTGGTAAGAAGAGCCCACACTGGAGCAGGTTTGCTGAAGGACTTGTGACCCTACAGGGGACCCATGGTGGAGCAGTGTGTGAAGAACTGCAACCCATGGGAAGGATTCATGTTGGAGAAGTTCATGGAGGACTGCCTTCTGTGTGAGAGACCCCACACTGGAGCAGGGGAAGAGAGTGAAGAGTCCTCCCCTGGGGAGACAGGAGCAGCAGAAACATGTGATGAACTGACCACAACACCCATTCCTCATCCCCCTGCACTGCTGGGGTGGAGGAGGTAAATAAATCGCAAGTTAAACCTGGGAAGAAGAGAAAGGTAGGGGAAAGTTGTTTTATGGCTTAGTTTTTATTTCTCATTACCCTACTCTGATTTGGTTGGTAATAAATTAAACTAATTTCCCCAAATTAAACTAATTTCCCCAAGGCAAGTCTGTTTTGACTGTAATGGTGATTGGTGAATGATCTTTCCTTGTCTTCATCTCAACCAACAAGCCTTTTGTTACATTTTCTCTCCCCTGTCCACCTTAGGAGGGGGCTTTGGTGGCCACCTGGCATCCAGACAGGGGCAAACCACCACACATACCTACTACTTTAAGCCCCAATTTCTTTTTTCCCCATTTACCTTGTTCCCAGTTTCCTCCTACCCCACCCCATCCCTCGCCACACTTACCCCATTTGTTTCCCTCTCCGAGGACAGTGGACACCTTGGCTGTGATGGAAGGAAAGACGCCAATGGTGACAGTGAAGACGAAGCAGACAGACACAGCCATGACCCAGAGCTAGGCAGATGAAAGAAAGAGACTGGTACCAAACACAAGGCAAGAGACCAGTGCAGGGATGGTCTCCTCTCCCCATGCTCTCCTACAGCTGTGCCCATCCCCTGATACAAGGGGCAGGGCAGGGGTTGCTGGCAACTCACAGACCTTCTTAAAGATAGCAATGACCGAGGGCTTCTCATCAGGGTTGTGGGTGGGGATGATCTTTGAGTTATTCTGCTCCATCCCATTGGGCTCATCTGTAGGGAGAGACACAAGTAGGGCACAGCAGACCGCAGAAAGCTGAGATCTAATTTAGTCCTTTTGTCTCATTCTTCCTCTCAGCTCTCTCTCCTTTTCCTTCTTCCTTCTCTCAGCCCCTCACCTTTTTTAATCAGGTCTCTCTTGGTCTCCAACTCTGCATTGTACACACTGTACTCAGTCTTGTCCTTCATGGAGTAGTATCGGAAGAAATCCTGCAGAGAGACAGCCACAGAGAACTCATTCACGTCTGAGGAAAGAAGGCTGCCAGAGGCTGCATGGTAACAGCAGATATGGGCAATATGGGCAAAGAGTTCCCTCCACTTGTGTCTGATACTGATGCTTTCCTGCTTACCCAGAGGCTCATTTCCACAGTACCAGTATCACAGAGAGGTCCCTCGGGCCAGGGGACAGCTTGCCTTGACCCAAGAGGTGGAGGCTTGGGTACTGGTGGGCTATGGCCCTTCTGCTGCGGTGTGCAAAGGTCCCATGTCCCCACAGCCTTCCCCACCAGGGTGACAAAGTCTCACCATGCGAGGCAGAAGGATGTAGGAGAAGATTGCCAGCACGATCGCCACACAGGCCGTGGTGAAGTAACCGATGAAGCTCTCAGGCTGCTGGGCGCCAACTGGGAGCACAGGAAGGGAGGAGATGGGGAGAGGGGGATAAAGAACAAAGATGATGAGGGCTGATAGGAAAAGGCTCTGCTGCCATCTCCCACCCAACCCTACAGCATGATCCCAGTGGATCCAGTCAACAGCAGTACTCTGGAAAGGCCCTGTCAGCCGCAGGGCTGGGATTACTCACTGGCAATACTGAAGATCATCGCCAAAGCAGCAAAGGTGCCTGCCAAGCCCTGCCCACTCATGATGGGAGCTGTGTAGCTGGCAGGCAGCAGCCCTGCCAGCCCAAAGAGGCTGCTCTGGAGGATGGCGCCAAAGGCTGTGAAGAGAAAAAATGAGCCCAAATGAGAAACCAAAGGCAAGGATGGACTGCACGTCTGCAGGGAGCCACGGCCTTGCTCTGCAAGGCAAGACAAGTCCCCGTCCTCCTTGGCTCTCTTGCAGTGAGTTTCATGCTTTTCTCCCTAGCCATGGGGCTGTGCCCCTTTGCTTCCCCCCACTGCCTTACTCACAGTTAATGAAGACGATGCTGATCATGGTAAAGATGAAGAAAGGAAGAGGCTCCATGGCAACCTTCACCATGATCGCAGTGACTAAAAACACCAGCCCAATGGCCACCAGGCTGCCTGAGATGCGGATCTGCTGGGGAATCCTGCAAGAGAGGGTCTCAGTGATGAAAACCCACACCCCAAAAGCCTGTGAGGCTGGGGCCAAGCTCTCCCGTGGGAATCCCAGCCAAATCCCAGCACAGAGACTGGTGTTTTGCCTTAGACTTGACTGAACAGGCTTGCAGCTTGTCTCAGTGCTGGGGCAGGACGGGCCAGGGCTGGAGGGCCTGAGGGGGGCTGGCAATGGCAAGGATGGGGTAAGGCTCACCGCTGGTGGATGAAGGAGTTGAGGCAGGTGAAGATGAGGAGGGGCACCATGGCGCAGAGAGTCATGAAGTTGTCAAACATGGACTGTAGGTAGGACTGGGACGAGGCAGCCTCACTGGTCTGGTTCCAGACATGACTGTTCTCTTCCGGGTCTGCAAGGCGGCTGATGAAATACTGCGAGGGAAGGAGCCTGGTGGGGCCAAGGTGCTGCGAGGTCTCCCCCTAGCACACTCAGGCAACTCTTGTCCCCCCTCCAGCCCCATGCCCAGCCATCCTGCTGCCCCAGCACCATTCGTCCCACCCAGGTCACCCATGCTTGTGTCTCCTGTAGGGAGCACAGTAAAGTGAGGGCTCTTCTGTGCTGTGCTGCCACATCTACACCATGGCCATGATGTGATAGGGGATGGTAAGTGTCACGGGCAGCAGCAGGAAGGAAGCCCTCACCTCCCTAGCGGTCATGAAGAAATTCCATGGCAGCAGCGTTCCCAGGCCAAGGATGAAGAAGATCAGCCAGACAGCCTTGTACCTGCAGAGGGGACAGAATGGTTTGAAGTGGGATGGTGGGCAGGGCAGGCAACAGGCGTCACTTCTGACTATCCCCAGCAGCAGGAGGAATCAGCAGGGAGAGTGAAGATGGAATGTACTGCCCTGCCCCACAGCCCTGCTAGTCTGGGATGCTGGAGGAGATGTGGCACTGCATAGGGGCCATGGGAGATGCTCTCCAGGAGGCTACAAAGGTAGGGGGAGGCTGGCACATGGCACTCAGACACACAGCGGCTGTCAGCAGAGCTGGGAGGGAGTCACACTCCTGTTCACAGCCCATTTGTAATGGAAAAGCTGAGCACCTCAGGGAAGGGACAGCTTCGTAGCCCATTGAGCACGCAGGAGAGGGGGTCCCAGAGATGGTGGCTCCTCCTGGCCTTTCCCTCACCTCCTGGTATCCTGGACGTGCCCCTGCATCTACACCAGAGCCTGGCATTACCTGTCTTGGGGCCCGTCTCTTGCTGTCATCTTGAGCAGCAAGAGTCAGCACAGGTCCCAGCGAGTCTCGTGGCCACTCTCCGTCTGGAAAGCAAACAGAGGATTTTACGGGGAGTGAGGAACACAGGCCAGGCAGAGGCAGTGCTGGGT